ACTTTGCTCGATTGATTCACAAAACTGCGCAAAAAATATTACCTGACGTTTCCCCAGATAACGCGCTATGCTAAAATAATATTTTCTACCTTGACGAACAACATTAAAAATTAAAATATACCTACTTTATCACACGAAAACTGTCCGAAAAAAAAATGGACACAAATAATTTGTGTTAAGTTCTTGAAAGGTTAAGATAAATATAAGTTCTTGCACAAATATAAAAACAGATTTAATCGCGCCTGTTATTAAATCATTTTGATTCCAGTTTCGGAAATTAACAAAATTATCTAAAAGTTTTAATTACGTACAACTAGAACCATTAAAAGCATAAGAAACAAAAAATTAAAAATAATAATATTAAAACAAAACTTCCTGGTTATAATATTTTTCCGCTTCTAATTTTGAATCGATTATGGTCAATATAATAGTCTCGTGCCTGCTCATATGTTTGAGGGTTGGAGGTTTTTACCCTGTCATGCCACCAAACCGGCTGTATGTGCTTGTGTAGAGTAAATATGTGACCCTTAGGAACTTCCCTAAGCAAATGTTTATTTGGAGGGATAGTCCATGCACCAAATTACCGGAAGGTGTTGGTGGGATAGCTACACCTTAAGCCGGATCTGTGTTTGTTCCTTATGGGTGTGTTATTTCCAAGTTGTTTCCAATGTTGTTAAATTAATAGCGACATTTGGGGATCAAAGAGAGCGAGATTAATTAGAGCGACACCCCAGGCGGGAAATTCGCGACAGATGCCTTCTCTTTTTTTTACAATGAAACGACGGAAACTTTCTCACCACCTAATACAGACGAATAAACAAATAATTTAAAAAAGCGACGGTAGGAAGAAGAAGCGTGAACAAGTTTAAGCTTAAAACACCTTATTACCGTAAATCCAAAGTTTAAAAGACAAGGGAAAAATTTTGATGGTAAAGTATTAATAATGTCCGTGTTTTAGGTATCTACATTCATAATTAACCGCTTATTAAAAGTCCCTAAAGTATGTCAAAATCACAGGCTGTTCCGTCCCTTTTGAACAATCAATTTACTCGAAAACTCTAACAATGAAGTACTATCTACGTATCATCAAGGCTCTAAACGAATTGGGTTTCACCCGACTTTTCTTGTTCAAAAGAAATTACTTTCTTTATATGTTGTTTTAAATGATTAGTCTTCCTTTGGCAGTCGTTTTCACTTGAAAATTGTTTCATATTTTTTAAAAACAGTCGCAACTATGTTGCCACATATTGTTATGTTAAGTAAAAGAAACAAATTCAATTTAAATTTACCGTGAGATTTTTATATAACGTGTGATTTAGAAAGAGCTTTCCTAGCCCTTGAAGAACAGTGGAACATCCTTTTGGAAAAATTAAAAATTATGTATGATTTTTCGAATTTTATTTATTTTATGAGAACCCGTATAAGTTAAAATAAAGATATATGTGTGTAGTGTTAAAGTAAAGGTAACGAAGCATGCTATGCGTGTTTCTAGTGAGTTTTTTCATAAAAAAAAATTGGGGTGACGTCAGCAAAGATATCTACATCAATTTAGATAGATGAAGTGTAATAAATGGTATACCTCATTCACTAACTTTTTGGAGTTACTCTGTATAAGCAATTTTAAAAAATATGATTGCATTGGATAAACCACAAGTATATAGATTTTCAATTCATCACCAGGTTTGTGGGAGTAAATTTATCAATTGGATCAATCATTTCATTCGAGTAACGTTCCTAATTTTTTAGTATTTGAGAAATTTAAGATTTTGTATATTTTAGATACGAGATAGGGATAACTGGACATATTTTGATTAACGATTTACAATATTTAATCTTAAAACGTTTGCAAGTTTTCGGAGCACTTAAATTGTAAGTATAATTTTGATTTCTTTTGTAAAACTCTGGATGACTATGATAAAAATCCAAACGGGTTCATAAAGCGCAAGTGTATGATGTAAGAAGTACGTTATTTTACAAAATTTAAATAAAAGTAGACAACAGAGTGTTCGATAGTTTCAAAGATTATAACTGTCTTCTAAAAATCGACACAGACGACGACAGACAGAGAGACAGAAACAGGGACTTACTGTTGCGTACTCTAGTGTTCATGTAATGTCCACAAAATGAAAAAGTAGCCATTCGTTGCATGGATAATATTACAGTACCTATTTCCGTAATTTACACTCGGGAAATAAAAATCGTAGTATAAATTTTCGGCAGTTGTCTAATGAAAATGCAAGTTATTAACGTCTTTATCTTTCGAAGATACTCATTTTTCTCTTCAGATCCGCAAGTGAATGAAAACATATTTCACTGCCATTTTACTCAAAGAAAAGTTTGTTAAACGTATGCAGAATGGCATATAATGATGTAATAAAGTCATTTTACTAAATGTATAGTTTTATGTTCTCTTTACGTTTCGCAAATCATAGCATACGAAAGTGCACGCTTCCTATTTCCATCTGTTCCCAAATTTATCGAACTTACTTTGAAATGTTAGGCTGTTAAGATTAAGCTCCGATTTTTTGGTAGGGGATACACGAATAAATTTTGATTAAAGATTTACCATGCTTACGGAAACACTAAGACGTTTACAAGGTTCCAGAGGATTCGATTTTACAGTTTCTAAGTTATATTGTAAAATGCTGTTGTTATACAGTGTTGATTTGTTTCTCCAAAAAACGGATGTCTAGGGTAAAAAATCAAGATGGATTCATAAACCACAAATGTATTTTATATAAAATTGAAATAACATTTACTGTGGAAAATTTTGAGATGACCTCAACACATTGTTGGAGGGATGATTAGACAAATTTTGGTTTGTGTTTGACCACGTACATGATATTCTTAAAATATATACAGGGTTATGACAAAATTCATTGAAAGCAAATCATTTCTTTTTGAAAAAAACGCAAAAACATGTCAAGCTTTTTATTTTACTCTTTCTCTTTTGACATACGTTAAAGAAATTTTATTTCAAATTGATGTCATCAATGATTTTTTTAATAAAAAGGTATAATCTTGATTGCATTATGTATTTGATAAAGATTTTTTTTTATTTTTAGTTATTTAGAGAGATTTTTTCAAAAACAAAAGCTGCGCTTTTTATGAATTTTGTGCATTACTTTATCATAAGACTGTATATGGAAAATTTGCCAACAATCGGTCCAGTAATTTCGGAGAATATGTCTCATAAAAATCGACACAGACAAACAGACAGACGACAGATAGACCGAAACTCTAGGGGTCATGAAACGTCGACAAAACATGAAAGTAAAAGTGAAAATTTTTCAGGAAATCAAGAAAGCTCCAAAATGAAAAATCAAACAAAGATTTTTTTATTCGTTATGCTTTTCCTGTGTTTGCTTTGAAGAAGAGGTTCAAACAATTTTACAATGATATACAGTGTGTTTATAATAATGATCACATTATAGGGAGCCATGGCCTAGAAATAGTTTGTCACTTAATATCAAATAAAAATAAATTAACCGTTCTGTGTCTAACTTTGTTAGTTTTTCACTTCCAAGATTTGGTAAACCAATCAATGGACGTTTACGTTTTGTTATAAATATTTCAGCGATTGAAATTCTGTTGCTGATAGATTTTTTTGTTATCATAAAGAGAACACGATTTTTTGACGATCATGTAAGGCATATATACATATATCTATAGTTTTTATGAAAGTCTTTGATATTGGAGTCGTCCATTTGGAAATGGGAAATGGATCAATAATATAATCTACGTAACAGAGAATCTATGGTGGAGTTCCCACACGAAAACCTTAGTGAAATTTCCTTATTCAACACATTAGGATGTATTATGTACATATCTGTAGCAACAGGTTGTATAAACAAAGACAAATTAGGAAGGTCCAATGTTAGTGATGTAGTTGTTGAAAACCTGAAGGAACGGTTAGAATAAAGTATCACTAAACTGTAAACGAAGTTACCTCAACAAATTGAAGTTCCTCACACATCAAATAGAGTTAACAAAAGGTAATTCCATTTCCTTCTTTATCGGGTAACGATAGGAAATACATTTTCTTGTTAAAGATTAGGAATTTTTTTTTAAGGATAATATTTGGTTTCTGATTATATACCTTCATTTTTGTGTTGAAGTAACTTTGAAAAAACACAAAGAAGAAGCTAAGCGGTGGTTTAAAAATTTATTTTGTTTGTTTTATGAATACGTTATATTTTACAGTTAAATCGAAGCTTCAACTATGTCGAAAGCAGTTTTCAATTTTTTTAAAGCTTTAAAATAACAATAAAATTATGGAACTTCAATAAAATACATATGTCCAAACCTTCCTTTGTATTGAATTTTGTAAAAAAAAATTCGAGCCATTGTGACTTTACGATTAATTTATACATTGTTATTTACAAAAATCTATGAAATGAAGGAAACTTAACCTTATTCAAATAATTGACTTAAAATTATTTACGACACAAATAGTAACTTTCACGCTTTTTTTAATACAATATGAGTTAATATTTCAGCTATGCTCTCATAGACAGTATTTTCTTGTATACGTTATGCTATTGTATGGTTGTAGAGAAAAAACTTTTAAAAAACAGATGTTTCTCTATGAAAAAAAGTCGTCATTTTCAGTGAACTATGTGCCTTTGCGTTCTTAAACAATTTCTAAAGAGTAACTTGGGTTGAAAGCAGCCGTATTGCACAGAAACGTCAAACGTCACATGATCTTAGTCATTCTGTTAGCAAATCGCAGCTACATTATAAAATTGTCACATGTTTAACTTCGTGAACTTAGCTTCCAGCAAGAAACATACGCTGTATATTTATTTCACGACAAAGAACAACTGGCACGTGACGAAACAAAAACTCAACTCTGGATATTGTCACAGCAGTTTCCTTTTAATAGCAAACTGTGCTCATAAATTAATAAGTTTCTCTTTCTTTAATTTACTGTTATAATAGAGCACTCCAAAAAACTCCCCTTATACAGGACAACCAATAAATTATGTAAAATGTTTTACCGAGCCAGCTCAGACTCTCCGTGGTTTCCAGCTTTTCCCGGAATTCATCCACTTGTCTTTGGAGTTCTTCCACAGCAGGCGGCAGTGGCAGCTCAGACCTCAACTGTCTTTCTATTGCGGATACGCGAGCTTCCAAAGCTTTCAAGGTATTTCCTGTCGACTCCTGAAGCATAGCGAACCCGTTGGCGGCCACCACTTGCAGAGAGTACCTGCTGTCTGGAGTGTTCGGTGGTAGATCGCCGCTGATGTTCAACAACTGGCCTGCGGTGTTGTACAGTTTCAGAATGTCCCGGGGTCCAGCCTCGGCGGCAGATCTGAACAAATCTGGAACAAACAAAAAATTCATTTGTTTCGGTTCGCTCATTAATACATTAAATGGCTCTCAGCAGCCGATTGTAAAAAAGTTACCGCATGGTCGCTTTCACGAATAATGAACATATCGTGGAGACCGACAGCTATGATATTTCCATTTGTTTTCACTGATTTTAAATTCAGTTAAAATTGATTCAAATGGAGTGCTGACGTTTGGAAAAGTTATATATTATTGATCTGATTATTATACATTTTATTTATATTTAAATCATAAAAACCTTTTTCTGCGAAATACGTCCGGGTTAAAATAACGTATTTTTTTCATCTTTTTAACCCTGAAATATATTCAGGTTCTGCATTTGCCATTACACACAGGTCTAGACATTTCTATGGAAATGTATTATTGTAGGCTACGAGCATGCACAGAATTGTTTAGTTTATATTTCACACACAATGAGTATGTTGAGACTTACAAAATACACCAATACCTGGGAATCTGTAGTAGAATTTTAGTTTTTACTAAGCTTGAAATGATGAAGAAAGATATGTAAATTTTTGGTCTGATTAATGGGTAACGTCAAAGTATTTGCGTATTTTTCTTAACGTGGGAACCTTAAAAAACCCCAATTTATCGCTGGTGAGTGGATACAAGTATAAGAGATGATTAGCTTTGAACCTTTTTCAAAGTATTGGGGATAGCAAGCATTCGATAATTAATTTGTGTGATGCACCCATCTTCGAATTTCGTCTGTATAGAAGGAACGCGCTGGATCGAATTGCTCTCCAGTCCTGTCGGAATTAAAAGAATCTATTTTTAAATATGCTGCTGAGGTAGAAATCCTAAGAAAATCCGAAACTGGCAGTTTCATAAAAAGCAATGTTAAAATGACGATATGCAGTGACGTACGAAACTAATAACCACTTTATTTTACAATATTTTTGAATCTATGTCTGTGATCAATCTTTAATTCTTTATCAATCAATAATAATGAAGCTTGCTACGCGCATGTTTCAAATGAGTTTTTCCTTTGCAAATACATATGATGACGTCATCAATATTTTTACAAGGACATGTGTATCGATTTGGACAAGGGCAGTGTAATTTAATTAATAAAATAAATTGGCTTTTTTGATACACCTTGTATAAACAATTCTAAAAGAATATGTTGTATAAATCGCAAATTTTGGGGCGAATAAACAAATACATATGTTTTGGTTAAAAATTTACAATGCTTACGACAACTTTAAATATCTACAAGATTTCAAGGCATGTGGTTTTGTAGTTTCAAAATTAAACTGTAAAATGTTATATAATTTTGATTTTATTTACAAAAATCTGGGCGTCTCGGGTAAAAAATCAACACGGATTCATGAACCACACGTAAAGGAATATGTTATTTTATAGAATTTAAAACCCATTTACTACGTACAATTTTGAGGTGATGCCATATAAAATTTTACAACAATCGGTCCGGTAGTTTCGGACCAGTAGTTTAGGAGATTATCTGTTCAATAAATATCGACACTAACAGCACACAGACAGACAAACATATGAAAACGGAAGACCTATTTTTCCATGTTCTACGGGTCATGAAACGTCGAAGAAACGTGAAAGTCGGCATGCGTTGGATGGACCCTATTATAATGTGTACTTACTCTCGGGGAGTAAAAATAACTGTACATCAAAAATGTTTTGGCAGTGAACGATTTATGAGTATAGATTTGGCTCTGTCAAAAACAAAAAAATTGGTCTAAAGAGTTTAGACAGTACTTCCCTCGCTGTCGGAAACGTGACGACTGCATGTCTATTATGGTTTTTTTTTTGCAGTAGATTTCAAAGCATTCGGTTTTGTAGTTTCTGAGTAAACCAATAAAATGAATTTACGCATTAATTTTTTTTTTGAGTCACCCGGTATATGCAAATTCAAAAAATATGAATGGAATGATAAATCACAAGAAAAGACTCATCATATTTTGTACATTTTAGATAGGATTAATTCAACAAAATTTTGTGGTGACGTCATCATTTTTTTTAGAGGGGACGACCAAATACATTTTGATCAAAAATTTACCATGCTTATGATAATTTTAAAACATCTTTAAGATTTCAAAACATACGGTTTTGTAGTTCCTGAGTAAATCAGTAAAATACATTTACGCATTCATTAATTTTTTTGAGTCACCCTGTATATGCAAATCCAAAAAAATATTAATGAAGTGATATATCACAAGCACAGACTCATCATATTTTGTACATTTTAGCTGGGATTTATTCGGCAAACTTTTGAGCTGACGTCATCAAGTTTTTGGAGGGGATAACCAAATATATTTTGAGTAAAGATTTATGATGCTTTTTATAGCCTTAAAACATCTGCAACATTTCAAAACATTCGGATTAGCAGATTCAAAATTAAATTGCAAAATGTTGTTTTATAATTTTGATTTTTTTTTTCAAAAATCTGGACGTTTCGGGTAAAAACTCAATTCGGAGTCGTAAACTACATGTTTAGGACTATGTTATTTTATACAATTTAAATCCCATTTACTATGTACAAGTTTTAAGTGACGTCATCGCATTAGTGGTGGGGATGATTAGACAAATTTTGGTTAGCGTTTTACCATCTACATGATATTTCTAATATAACTACAAAATTTCATAACAATCGGACGGCAGACAGACGGACAGACGGACAGACAGACGGAAATGGGAGACCTATTTCTTCGTCTTCTAGGGGTCATGAAAGATCAAGAAAACGTAAAAGTAGAGAGTCGGCCGAAGGGGTCCTTGAGATTGTTTCAAACTTTTTCAAAAATAGAGCGCAAGACCCCCGAGATTGTTTCAAATTCCTTCAAAAATAAAACGCAAGGGGCTAAGAATGATTCTTTCACAGTCTTTTAAAAAAACTAGTCCAATGTTATTTTGACAGAACTTTCTTTGCCCCTGAAATAAAGTCCAACAAACGTAGATTTTTCGAAAAGGTATAAAATTAATTTTGCGAATTTTATTTTTTTATATGATGATAACGCTTGAACTTAAATGTGTGAACTGTTGAACTATAAGTAAAGAAGCATGTCATGTGTATGTTTCAAGTGAGTTTTCCATAACAAATTGTTATAACGTCATCAACATTTTATCAAAGTAAGTGTCCTTACTAAAATATTTTTTTTTAGCAAGGATACCTAAATCAATTAGAATACCTTCAGTGTAATACTAACAATAACGGTAATGTATTTCCGGGAAATTAAAATGAACCGTTCTTGATTTGATCAATAAAAAAAAGCTGCGGGCCCGGTATCGATCCGTGGACCTCTCATCTACGAAGCGAGCGTGCTACCGCTACACCACAGCTGTGGTTATCGAGTTTCGTATTATGTGTTTAAAGAACAAGACGGATTAAACAATAAAAAAATATAATAATAAAAATTGGTCGAAGGTTATTTCGACAGAACTTCTCTCGCTCCTGAAGTACAGTAAAACAAATCCAGCTTTTTCGAAAAACTATAAGATTTGATTTTACGCATGTGTTTCAGTTGAGCCATAAAATTTTGTGATAGCGTCATCAAAATTTGAGCAAGGGCATATATCAATTTGGATAGATGAAACGTAATAGTAATAATAACAGAACTGTATTCTCATAATTTTCGGGAAAATTGGTTTAATTAATAAAATAAAGTGCTTCATTCATTAATTTTTTTGAGCAATCTTGTATAATTATATTTTAAAATCATGGGTGCATCAATAAACCACAAGGGTAGAATCATAATATGTACTTTGCATATTTCAGAGAGGATTTTTTGCAGTTTCAAAGTTAAATTACAAAATGTTGCTATACAATTTTTTTTCCAAAAATCTGGATGTCTAGGGTGAAAACTCTACTCATCACAAGTGAATAAGGTACAGTAGATCGCTTTTTTCATACTCTAGGGCCATGAAACGTCGAGAAAACATAAAAGTGGCAAGTTGCCCTATGGACTTGATTACTGTTACTACTATAGAACTATTTATTATTACTAAAATCAAGGTAGATTCATAAATCACAAGGACAGAAGTATGTTATGTCCAAAAAATTTAAGTGGCTTTTACTAAAAGATTTTTGGTGGGATAGCTATAGAAAGTTTGATCAGCATTTTAGCATCTACATTATAGTCTTAAATATATATATATGTAACATTTCAGGACAAACCCAATAATTTCGAATAATATCTGTCTCGCAGAAATTGACACGACAGACAGACGAAACTATTGGAGTGATAAAACGTCGAGAAAACATGAAAGCAGCAGGGAAGTAAAAATACACAAAAAATTCTGAAGATTCTTTCAAATACTCAGTTAGCTTACGTTTGGGAAATATAGGTCATCCACAAATTCAGGGTTTTTACCATTTTGACTCTTCTGCCACTCTTGTCAACAAATAAGGCAGATTTATCAGAAACAAATTTAGATATCATCCCAACCTGCGTCAACCGCTCAATCCTAGCTGTTTAATGGTATTGGTTTAAGATTATTCCCAAACGAGGGAAAAAGTCAAAGTCATAAAACCACAAAATTTGTTGGCCCATAAAATTTCATCTGCAACAGTTTTCTCTGTCAATTGTTGTTTTTGTATGCTGAAATTTTAATGTAAACTGCAACATTTTTCCTAACTACCGAAAATTAAGTGTTGGAGAAATTATTTCTAGTGGATATTAATAAATACAAATTGCCAATTGTCGCCAATTCAATTCAAATGCAGTAGGAAGCATTAGCGCCCTCCTCAATGAATGATCTTGTGACTCGTCGTTTTACAAATAATGACTTATAAATTCAACGATCCTTCCCCTTCACGATTTCCACACCTCGCTTGAGGGGTATCGCAAGAGCAGCCTTAAAATTTGACATTTAATTTACTTATCCAAAATTTTAAATGAAATAAGTTCTTTCTTATTGTACAATTTCTTGAACATTTACCAGCCATTACGCTGGCTGGGGTTCTAAGTTCTCGAAAATCTTCATTTTATTGTCAATGTCACTG